TGACCATCTGTACGACAGTATCCTTCCACTGTCATGCCCTGACCTGGCCACTACTGCGTACAACGACTCACTGTCAGCTGCCGTAGACTCCCTGGCACCCCTAACCACACGTAACATCAGACCTCGACTGCTTCAACCCTGGCAGAATGAACATTCAAAATGTCTCAAACGAAGCAGTCGCGCGCGCTGGAGCAATTATGGCGCAAAACCAGATCCCCTCGAGCGTTCTCCCTCTACAAATCCGCCTTCCTCACCTACACCACCTCCCTCCACGCCGCCAGGCAAGCCTATTTTGTAACCCTCATCAACACCCTCTCCACCTGTCCTCGCCGGCTCTTCTCCACTTTCAAATCCCTGCTCTCTCTCCCCCCCACCTCCACTCAGTACCTCACTCACCGCCCACAAGATTGACAATCATTTCCAAAACAAGATTGACGCAATCCGTAAGGACATTGTCAATTCACAATCTACCTCTCCACCTAGCCTCCCTCCCTCCATCACCTCCTCAACTCTCCCCTCCTCCGACCTCACAACTGCACTGCCCCCGACCATACCCAATGCCCTGCACACTATAACCTCCCCAACACTCCGCTCCTTCAGCCCTGCTACCACTGAGGAGGTCACTAAGGTCTTCACTGAAGCTCGCCTCACCACTTGCCCCCTGGACCCTATCCCCTCACAACTCCTCCAGTCATCTCCCTCATCCATCATTCGCTCCCTCACCCACATCTTCAATCTCTCCCTCTCTACTGGCACATTCCCCTCCCCCCTAAAGCACGCACACATCACCAGCATACTCAAAAAACCCTCCCTTGACCCCACGGACCTAAACAACTTTAGACCCATCTCCCTGCTGCCATTCACTTCCAAGCTCCTTGAGCACTTAGCCTACAGTCGCCTAAGCGCCCACCTCACTGATAACAACCTCCTTGATCCACTACAGTCTGGCTTCCGTCCCCTACACTCCACCAAAACCGCCCTACTCAAAATCACTAACGACCTGCTAACCGCCAGAGCTAATGGCCACTACTCAGTCCTCCTACTCCTCGACCTGTCCGCGGCCTTCGACACAGTCGACCACCCTCTCCTCCTTACTAAACTGCACTCCTTTGGCATCATGGACACTGCTCTCTCCTAGTTCTCCTCCTACCTATCCCAAAGCTCCTTCAGCGTTACCTATAACGCTGCCACCCTCCCCCTCTCTCTCCCCCTCTCTGTCGGTGTCCCCCAAGGCTCTGTCCTCGGACCCCTCCTCTTCTCTGTCTACACCTCCTCCCTTGGCAAACTGATACACTCCCACAGCTTCAACTATCACCTCTATGCCAACGACACACAAATTTACCTCTCTCCACCCCTCAACTCACCCCCTCACTCTCCGCCCGCATCGCCCACCTCCTGAACGACATATCAGACTGGATGTCGCTCCATTTCCTCAAGTTAAACCTGTCCAAAACTGAGCTCCTAGTTTCCCCCCCAGTCCGCGCCCCCCCACCATCCTCTCCATCACGACTAGCAACTCCACCATTAATCCCACCCCACGCGCCAAAGTCCTGGGTGTCACCCTGGACTCAAACCTTTCCTTCCAACCTCATGTCCAATCACTATCAAGGTCATGCAGGCTCCACCTTCGCAACATCTCCAACATACGTACATTCCTCACCCCAGACACTACTAAACAACTCGTACACTCCCTCATCATCTCATGCCTGGACTACTGCAACTCCCTTCTCACTGGCCTACCCAAACAAATGCTATCCCCACTCCAGTCCATCCTGAACTCAGCGGCTAGACTCATCCACCTCACCAACCACTCCACATCTGCCACCCTCCTCTGCCAATCCCTTCACTGGCTCCCGATTGTCCAACGCATTAAATTGAAACTGCTAACTCTGACATACAAAGCCATTCACAACGCTGCCCCAAAACTACCTAACCGACCTGATACCCAAATAACACCCTACCCGTGCCCTTCGCTCCTCACAGGACCTCCTACTCTCCAGCTCCCTGGTCTCCTCCTCCCACGCCCGACTGCAGGACTTCTCCAGGACTTCCCCCATCCTCTGGAACTCCCTAGCCCAATCCATCAGACTGTCACCTACCCTCCTCACCTTCAGGCGCACCCTAAAAACCCATCTCTTCAGGGAAGCCTACCCCACCCTCACCTAACAACCAATCTCCTCCACTCCTCCTATCACTCCATCCCCGACAGCCACTTCCTCCTGTACCACTATCCCCTCCCTCCCAGATTGTAAGCTCGAAAGAGCAGGGCCCTCGAACCCCTCATGTATTGTATTGTACTGTATTGTCTCATGTTCTTTCCCCCACGCTAATGTACAGCGCTGAGCAAACCCTTTGGTGCTATATAAACACTGTATAATAATAATAATAATAATAATAATAATAATAATAATAATAGAGTCTATGGTCAGCTATGTGAATATTGACTCAGTTTTCCAACCAAGTGAAAAGCACATTCCTGTTTACTTTAAATGCCCAATCATTTGCAGATGCTCTTCACATGATTGGATAACTGAAGTTAATATTCACACAATTTTTCTGAGTGAAGATTCTCAGCAATCTCAGTGATAAAGGGATAAACAGCCTAATAACTATGAATTGCAAATTTCTGTCAACAAATGGTGACAAAACCATGCTCCTTTGCTTAGTATATGCTTGAACAGAAACACAATTCACTTTGTAAATAGATGTGTTGTTTGTTACACTTGTGTAGGCTCTTAAAAAGATAATCTGTTGCTGAGAAAACAGCACTTGAATGTGTAATAATTCACAAATTAGACAAAGTAAATTTTTTTGGGAATATGTCAAATCTAGATTAATGTTACAAAACAACACAAAATGCACGCTATTTGCTACTGCTTGCTAATATGTTGCATTATTTTTGTTGTGTTAAGAGATTCAATTTAGCTGCACTACGGCCATTAAATCACATTTCCTTTGCTAAAGCACATCATATCATAAACATTTAGAAGATTTTTTGTTGTTTTTTTTTAACATCCAATACATGTTTTTATTAGATTTCAATGCTGTTGACCTCCTGCAGCCACTTCCTGACTGCTTGCATGCTTTCCAGTGATAACTGCATTTCTCAGGATGGATTTCCAGATAGTGACAACAATAGACCAAGTCCGCATAGTGTGCACTGAAACAACTTGTAGTCTTTACCACAATCCAGTTTAAAAGGCTAGGAATAGTGGAACACAATTGGGTAACAGGGATAGGACACACGAACCACGTGATCTCCTAAAGGTTTTACCCCCTTCATGACCAGGCTATATTTTGCTATTCTGCACTGCACTATTTTATTTGGTAAGTGTGCGGTCATGCAATGCTGTATCCAAACTAAATTTCTATTTCTATTTCAATGTTTTCACACAAATAGAGCTTTCTTTTGGTGGTATTTGATCACAACTGGTCTTTTTAATTTTTGTGATATAAATGTAAAACAAACCAAAAAGTTAAAAAACATAAATCCAATAAACTCAGATTTTGTCATATATTTAAGCCAAAATGTATTCTGCTACATGTCTTGGTAAAAAAAATTCCCAATTATTTAATTAGTTTGTGTGTACATTATAGAGTCTACAAACTATGGTATATATACTGGAATTACGCAGGTTTTACTTTCTAATTGCCAATCACATTTATTGAGGTGCTAAAATGCCAGGGCAATACAAACCCCCACCAAATTACCCCTTTTTGGAAAGTAGACACACAAAGGGATTTGCTGAGAGGCATGTTGAAGCCATGGAAGATTTTATTTTTTTGTCACAAGTTTTTAAAACGGACAATTTTTTTTTTTTTTTTTACAGAAAGTTGTCAATTTGATAAGATATTTCTCACACATGCCATAGATGTATGTGGAATTACACCACGAAACACATTCTCCTACTTCTCCCGAGTATGGGGATACCACATGTGTGAGGCTTTTTGGGGGCCTAGCTGCATACGGGGGCCGAAAACCAATGACCAATTTCGTCTTTCAAAGGCCAAAATTTTCTCAAGTCGCTTCCTCACTACGTATCGCAGTTTTGGAGGCCCTGAAATGACCGGATAGTACAAACTCTCCCTAAAATTACTCCTTTTTGTAAAGCAGACACCCCAAGGTATTTGCTCAGAGGCATGTTTAGTTCATGGAAGGTTTTATTTTTTGCCACATGTGTTTGGAAAATAGCAAAGAAAAATAATTTTTTTTACACACAGTTGTCACTTTAATTAGATATTTCTCACACATGCCATGGAGTTACACCCCAAAACACATTCTGCTACTTCTCCCAAGTATGGGCATACTGCATGTGTGAGACTTTTTTGAAGCCTGGCTGCGTACGGGGGCCGAAAACCAATGACTATCTTCAGGTTTTCAAAGGGGATATATCCTCATGTCACTTCCTCACTACCTATCACAGTTTCAGAGGCACTGAAATGCCAGGATAGTACAAACACCCCCCCCCCCGAATGACTGCTTTTTGGAAAGTATTTTATAAGAGGCATAGTGAGTATTTTGCAGATCTTATTATTTGTCCCAAGGTTTGAAAAATTAAAAAAAATGAAAAATAATTTTTTTTTTGTTTTCTTCCTTCATTTTTCATTTGCAGGCATCATCCCATTGTAACCATTCAAAGTCCAGCAACGTACTAGTATGTTGCTGGTCCTCACTGGGCATACATAAAGTGTTCTTTTTTCATGCAGCTTGTGGGGTGAATAAATAAAGAGTCTAACAGATTCCTCCATTCACATGAATCAATGTGGATGAAGAAATCTCTGCCAGAAAAAGTGTGTGGTATGCCCACCATTAAAATCTACTGCCCTGCATCCACCCACTTCTAATGTTGAGCATACATGTTCTTTTTTTTGTTCAACCCATGGGGCGATCATTGATTGATGTGGATGAAGAAACCTCTGCCAAAAAATTTGAAAATAAATATATGCCGAAGCATAGGAGCAATCTGCCTATTGACCACCTCGGGTCCCTCATGCTTGGGCATATACCGTATTTTTCGCTCCTTAAGATGCACCTGACAATAAGATGCACCTAGGTTTTAGAGGCAGAAAACAGGAAAAAAAATATTCTAAACCAATGGACTGCAGACATAGTACAGGAGATGACCAGAGACTGCGGACATAGTACAGGAGATGACCAGAGACTGCGGACAGTACAGGAGATGACCAGAGACTGCAGACACAGTACAGGAGATGACCAGAGACTGCGGACACAGTACAGAGGATGACCAGAGACTGCGGACACAGTACAGGAGATGACCAGAGACTGCGGACACAGTACAGGAGATGACCAGAGACTGCGGACACAGTACAGGAGATGACCAGAGACTGCGGACACAGTACAGGAGATGACCAGAGACTGCGGACACAGTACAGGAGATGACCAGAGACTGCGGACACAGTACAGGAGATGACCAGAGACTGCAGACATAGTACAAGAGATGACCAGAGACTGCGGACACAGTACAGGAAATGACCAGAGACTGCAGACACAGTACAGGAGATGACCAGAGACTGCGGACACAGTACAGGAGATGACCAGAGACTGCGGACACAGTACAGGAGATGACCAGAGACTGCAGACACAGTACAGGAGATGACCAGAGACTGCGGACACAGTACAGGAGATGACCAGAGACTGCGGACACAGTACAGGAGATGACCAGAGACTGCGGACACAGTACAGGAGATGACCAGAGACTGCGGACACAGTACAGGAGATGACCAGAGACTGCGGACACAGTACAGGAGATGACCAGAGACTGCGGACACAGTACAGGAGATGACCAGAGACTGCGGACACAGTACAGGAGATGACCAGAGACTGCAGACATAGTACAGGAGATGACCAGAGACTGCAGACATAGTACAGGAGATGACCAGAGACTGCAGACAGTACAGGAGATGACTGCTGACCTTTGGGGAGGGGGGGGCGGGTACCTGAATTTCACAGGTACCCACTATTACTTCCACGGAGTTGTTCTTTGGTTAGTGTCCGCTGTGCTGCGGGACCTTACCTGTTCCTCTATCCAGCGTCACGCTGTCTTCCCGGCTTCTGTAGTGTCGGCGCTCGGCTTGACAGCCGGGTGCCCAGTGCGCATGAGCGAGAAGCGCTGCGCTTTGTGATTGGTCCGGTGGCTTCTGGGACCTGTCATGTTTCCCAGGTGCCGCCTTACCATTCACAAAGCGCACCGCTTCTCGCGTATGCGCACTGGGCACCCGGCTGTCAAGCCGAGCGCCTACACTACAGAAGCCGGGAAGACAGCGAGGCGCCGGATAGAGGAACAGCTAAGGTCCCGCTGCAGTGCTGAGCGGCCGGCCCTGTATTCTGACACGGCGGCGGTGGAAATACTGGACCGGCCGCTCCATATTCGCTCCATAAGACGCACTGACATTTTCCCCCCTTTTTTGGGGGGAAAAAGTGCGTCTTATGGAGCGAAAAATACGGTACATTTTTTTTTTTAACTATGAATGTGAAATCTCCTTCTGCAGCTCTGCAAGCACTGACATATATGACATGACAATACCCTGTGATGTCAGAATAAACAGATCAGTGCTCCAGCTGATTGGGGTTCCTGCAAAACAAACAACAATGGTTAAAAATAACACACAGTAACAAAATAACATTAACTCAATAAAACAATATTTTTTTTATTGAACTCTGTGCCAAAAAAATTAAAAAAATATTTGTCGGAGCATAGGAGCTATCCACCCATTGCCCACTCCAGGCCCTCATGCTTGAGCATATACATTCTGTTTTTTACTGCAGATGTAAAATCTCCTTTTTGCAGCGCCGCAAATGCAAGCACTAACATATATATTCTAATAGCAACACCCTGTTGCTGTCAGAATAAACAGATCAGTGCAGCAGCTTTCCAGCAAAGAAAACAATAATGGTTAACAATAAAACACAGTCAAAATATAAATTTCCCGTTTTTATTTAATTTTTTTACTTTTTTTTTACTTTTTCTGTAACTTATCAGAACCGTAACTGTAAACTTTCCAGACTTTGATTTTAGGGTCTCTCAAAATGCAATAGACAGCTTCCTGACTACGTAACATGTCTTTTGAGACTCTTGTGTGTGAATTGTGTGCCCTAGACTGTGCAGTGCTGTACCCAGGGGAGTATCTGCCGCGAGGCAACCTAGGCATTTGCCTAGGGCGGCACTTTTCCCTTTTCCCACAGAAGGGACACTTCCATGGGAAAGATACAGGGGCAGGGCCCCTGAAGGACCAGCTGCAAAGGAGAGCGGAGTGGTGGGCGGATCCCTGGAGCGCGTGAGGGGCGGGGCCCGCTGTCAGTGTGCTGGTATCCAGGTGAAGGCCAGAAGGAGGAAGCAGAAGAGGACGAGGTCAGGGGGTCGGAGCTAACCCGCTCCTTTGCAGCCGCCGCCGGAGATCGAGGGGGAGAAGGCACCTGTCCTGGAATGATCCTGACACCAACTGGAGGAGCCGCTGCTGGACAGGTAAGTGCTTGGAGGACTGGTGCTCCCTCGATACTGTCTCACTGTCCCCTGATACACTGCCCACCACCTGTTCTACTTCCCTCCCCCATCCCATTGCCCCCCATCCATCACACTGCCCCCTGCCCCCACATGTCACCTGGCCCCACATCTGTTCCACTTCCCCCTCCTGTCCCCCACATTGTCCCACTACCACCCATCTGCCCTCCACCTGTCCCTCTGGGCTCCACCTGTCCCTCTGGGCTCCTCCTGTCCATCTGCCCCCCACCTGTCCCTCTGTGCCCCTCCTGTCTCTCTGCGTTCCTCCTGTCTAGCGGCCCCGATCCTGCCCCATGTCCCCTGTCACGCTGCCCCCCACCTATCCCTCTGCGCTCCTCCTGTCCCACTGCCCCTCACCTATCCTTCTGCGCTCCTCCTGTCCCTCTGCCCCTCACCTGTCCCACTGCGCTCCTCCTGTCCCACTGCCCCTCATCTGTCCCTTTTGCGCTCCTCTTGTCCTTCTGCCCTGATCCTGTCCCATGCCCCCTGTCACGCTGCCCCCCACCTGTCCCTCTGCGCTCCTCCTGTCCCACTGCCCCCCCACCTGTCCCTTTGCGCTTCTCCTGTCCTGCTGCCCCGATCCTGTCCCTCTGCGCTCCTCCTGTCCAGCTGTTCCGATACTGTCCCATGCCCCCTGTCCCACTGCCCCTCACTTGTCCCACTGCGCTCCTCCTGTCCCACTGCCCCTCACTTGTCCCAGGGGCGTATTTGCCACGAGGCAAACAAGGCATTTGTCTATGGCGGCACTTTTCAGGGGGGTGGCACGGCGATGTAAGTATAATTGGTGTCAGTGGGAGTAATAGTGCCCCATCATTAGTGTCAGTGTGGAAGGAATAGTGCCCCCTCATTGGTGTCACTGACACCAATGAGGGGGCACTTTTCCTCCCACTGACACCAATGATGGGGCACTATTTCACTGACACCAATGATGGGGCACTATGCCTCCGGGCCTCCCACTGACACCAATGATGGGGCACTATGCCTCCTGGCCTCCCACTGACACCAATGATGGGGCACTATTCCTCCCACTGACACCAATTATGGGACACTATTCCTCCCACTGATACCAATGATGGGGCACTTCCTCCCACCGGCCCCAATGATGGGGCACTATTCCTCCCACTGGCCCCAATGATGGGGCACTATTCCACCCACTGATACCAGTGATGGGGCACTATTCCTCCCACTGATACCAATGATGGGGCACTATTCCTCCCACTAATACCAATGATGGGGCACTATTCCTCCCACTGATACCAATGATGGGGCACTTTCTCCCACTGACACCAATGATGGGGCACTATTCCTCCTACTGACACTAATGATGGGGCACTTTCTCCCACTGATACCAATGATGGGGGCGTCATCAGATGAGGGCGTTATGATGACGTCAACTCCTTTCCTCTCCTGAGAGGACCCTTCCGGCGGCCAACCAATAGGAAGCTTCCAAGTCTTACAGGCAGTTTTTTGGACACCTGAAGAAGGACCCCTGCGGTTGTAAACAGATGAGGAGAGGCGTTGCCGGCGGGTCATGTGATCACAGCTCCGGGTGAGGAGATTCCTACATATCCTGAACCCAGCCCAAAGCAGGCGTACACTCTGAGGAAAGACACACCCCCAGCTTCCTGAGTGGACAATGAAGTAGCAGTAGCACACCCATGAGTGCCACCCTCCGCAGTGCCTGCCCCAAAGGGTGACCCAAGATGCTGTGACTGAATGATGAACCCCAGGATCCTCTCATGCCGGTGACCAGATGATGATAGCGAATGCAGCCTGATCTGAGTACAGAAGAACTCACATGTGCCTGATGATACAGGAGATTTTTCAATGCGTATTTAATACGCACTTCTGGTGAGTGCGCATTCTGTTCATTACTTATCACCTCTGGATCACATATTTCTACCATAAGCAGTGACTTTACAGGATCTTCACATCATACGTTTTCCCATTCGGACGTTATATTACTTGTCTTTGAGCATTAGCAGAATCACCACGCTATTGCATTTTGATAGACATTTTATATTGCATGTTATATTTGAATACTATACTAATTTTAGCGCTGCACCTTTATTGTTTACATAACTTAACCTTTGGCTGGAAGGTGCTACAGGCTGTGGTCCCGCCCTATGGTAGGCCTGCGGTTATTTGATTATCCTCTCTGGTGTGTGCCATCCTGAAGGTGATATTAGAAAAACAACGGTTAGACTTCCCGGCGGTAACGGTGTTTCTAGGAACCTTCCAGGATGGCAGGTCTACTTTCCACCCTGTTATGGGGGGGGGACTCCTAAAATCAGTAGGTGGTAAGTACCTTTGTGAAATTATTCCCCTTGTGGACCGGTTTCAGGAGTTACTTTATTACAAACTGAGGGGCAAGGGGAAGGGTGGGGGCTTATAACAGCTATGAATGAATTGTGTTTCCGGCAAGGAGGAGTCTCTCATCTCTCAGGTGTGCTGTCCTGAAAGGTTCCCAGAAAAACAATTACTGATAAGTCTAAGCATTGTTTATTGCTGTAATACTCGCCTTCAACCTGGACACAAGCCTTCATTAATTCTGTTCTGCTACTAAATGTTACCAGTGTTGTTTGGCAGTCTTCAGGGCAGCATAGCAGCCATCATTTAAATGTCACCAGCACAAGCATCCTTATTAAAAGATTTCTCTTTCTTGCTGCAGTTACAATTCTACAGTTTTGGATTATCCCTTTCTGCCTCAGTCATAATGGTCACCAGGACAAACAGAGAGGTTGAATCCGCTCATCAAGAACACCGACAAAAACCAAACTTGATATAAGGTCGAAATCTGGCCATACACACACAAAAAACCCAGATGTTTCCATCCATGCTACAGAGTGCAGAATGACGAAACGCACACTGCCAGTGTTGCCAGCCTCCTGAAGTGAGATTTACTGACAAGATACCAAAAATTTACTGAGAAAACTCATGAAATTTACTGACAGATCACATTTTCTACTGATACTTCACAAGGTACATTTTATGACTGTATTCAGTGCAAATTTCAATATTTAAGCAACAAACGTAGCTAGTCCTATTAGCAATGTGTTTGAGGTGTGTGGGAACTCGCTTCAAAGTGGTAGAGCTTTTCAACGCAAACAGCTACTCGCTTCTTTAAGGGCCTTTTTGCCCAATTTTATTTACAGAAAATGTCCCATAACATAATGCTTCCCACGCAGGGGTATCCACCAACAAAACAACGATTCAGCCTCCTGGCTTACACACAGTTCAATGTCTGTCTCCTGCAGACTCTTCCCAAATTATAGCCACTAGCACACAGCTAGTCTGGCTTCCACCTGACTCCAAGGCAGAGACCTCCCGTCTGCCAGGGTGGAGCCCTCCTGACTCCTAGCTGCCGGGGTGCAGCCCTGCTGACTCCTAGCTGCCGGG